ATAGAAGAAAATTATTCTCATGACAGAGTAAATGGTAAATTCCATTAAGTAAATCTTAATCACAATCACTTTCAGCTCATGCACATTTATAATCACACTTCACTTTTTTCTTTAATTTCAAATAATCTATGTATATTACTAACTTCTTTCTCTCTCTCTCTTTTTTTTTTCCCCTCAAATTTAAAAGTACAAAAAAGATTGCAGGCTTTTTTTTAAGAGCATGCACAATTGAAAGTAAGGGCCCTTCCTGGACTTCTGCTTGCACAAGAAAAAGGATAAAATTTTTCCCTCCATCACTGTTTGTTACCAATTTTACCAAGACTAAGAGCAATAAACTATCTCTATATTTGCTCTTTCACAAAAGAGAGAAGAGGTTACAGAGTCACAGTGCTAACTAAAAACAATAAACATTGTTTCTGCACATTTTACTAAGCTACATAACACTACGTACTAATCTACAAAATAAATGCCTTGGAAAAAAAAAAAAAAAGAAAAAAAAAAAGAAAAAAAAAAAGAAAAAACTGTGGGAAAATGCTCATAAAATGGTATCCAGAATTGCACATACAAGTGGCACCTATGTTTGATCATGTATGTTTATTACTCCTTCACTTTTATGCATTAATGCTTTTCAAGGTATAAAGTTAAATATGTGTTAGCACTTTCACATTTGAGAAAAATCAAAGACTTACTACGGCTGCATTTACTGCTATAAATTGATTTGTACACGGACAAAGCAGACACGCAGATAATCTGTTCTACATATAGAATCTACGTTAATACCTCTTAGCATGACACTGCTTAACTTAACTGCAAAGACAAATCACTGGTGCAGATATATGAATCTGGATTTGCTTTGAGTTTAAGGCCCTTTGTCTAAAGTCCACATCCCAACTGTTGCTACTCATTAGAACTTCACCTTTTGGTCCTACTCCTGACATTAGAATCTCATTAACACTGATATAAACTTACACTGTGGCTGGACTCCTCATATGGCTTGATTCCAGAGAAAGCTTGAGAGAAAATATGATGTTAATTGCTTATCAATAAATGCTTCCTGTTATATTTCTCTACTTACTAGGAACTTTCACCCTTTGCTAGTCATATTAAGGCAAATAAATAACTTGGATTTTTCAAACCTCATATCCTCTTTAACTGCTGAATGTGAAAGGAGAAAACTTGCAGCAGAAGGACAGGACAAGGAGAGATACTAAAATATCAGTACAACAGGTGAAGGAAGATAGTATATACTTTTTCTGTTGCAGTTAACTTTCATTCTGATGCCTAAACATGCAGCATAGCAACTACTCAGCCCTAAATAACAAACTAATTTACTCTTGAGGTAATTCTAGCTTCTTATGATACCTGGGTCAAACTGTAACATCAAAACTATGTAACAGTAACAAAATAGGATAAACCAACCAACTAAAAGAAAAAGAATGTGTGCCTGAGCAGAAATCGGGATTTCAAGGGGTATTTGCTGCTGTTGATGTTGTATTCCTCCATCAGACTGTTTCCTGTCATGTCCCCACCATGGAACATTTACCTATGCATGCAGAGTGCAGCCAGGAAGCTCCTCAGTCTTTGCATGTAACATTTTAATACATAAAGAAAGAACAGTTTGAATTGCATCTTCTATCTGTGTTGATGCCCCTTGCTGAAGTCACCATCTGCACTGATGTCAGACAGCTTTGCTACAAAGCCATGAAATAAATCATTTCAGAGAAACAGAAGTGGTAGTCATTGGCTTCTGAGCACAGCTGGGTGAGCAATCAGAGCTGGTACTGTCAGGGAAACTGTACAAGTGGGCTTTCAAATCCAGAAAGAAGGAAGAACTTGTGTTATTCACATCTGTCAGCGTGTAACTTTATGGCATCCTGCATTGTTAAATATGCTCTTGAACTGAGTGCAACAAGCTTTAAAAGTATCATAATGAAGCCAGATCTAGATGCCAGCAACCATGCAAACACTATCAGGGAATCAGGCACAAGAGTCTTCAGGTGCCTGTGGCTAACTTGAGTGTGATGCTTCCCATTAATTAGAATGCCAGAGCACAATGCCCTCCCGAAAGCCCATGCTGATGGCGAGGCACAGTTATATTAGTTTTCATGTACTGAAATACGTGCATGGTTGCTAGATCATAGAATCATAGGATCGCTCAGGTTGGAAAAGACTTTAAAGATCATCAAGTCCAACCACGACCTAACCACACTACCCCAACTTTAACAACCCTCTGCTAAATCATGTCCCTGAGCACCACATCCAAATGGTTTTTAAACACATCCAGGGATGCTGATTCAACCACCTCCCTGGGGAGCCTATTCCAGCGCTTAACAATCCTTTCTGTAAAGAAGTTTTTCCTGATATCCAACCTAAACCTCCCCTGGCACAACTTGAGGCCATTTCCTCTCGTCCTGTCACCTGTCATCAGTGAGAAGATACCAACCCTGCTCTCGCTGTAATCACCTTTCACGTATTTGAAGAGAGCAACAAGGTCTCCTCTCAGCCTCCTTATCCCCAGACTAAACAGCCCCAGTTCCTTCAGATGTGAATGAGTGATTTATAACCAGCATAACGATGTCTGCCAGACTTTGCAGTAGATTGCTACAGTAGTACCTCAAGCACTGACATCTCGGTAGTGTGCTAATTGCCAGAACCACAGCTGGGAGAGATTTATTAGTCTAGGGTTTGTCAGCACAGAAGGGAAATGCCACAAACAGCTTGTGAATGCCACTACAGGTTTTGAAATATCCCTTTAAGGAGCACACAAAAGAGGGAAAGATTTCTGTTATTGCTCTGCTGAAACAGGAACCTGCACTGAACAAGTGTAGGCCACAGACTTTGCAACCAACTGGAGCTAGGCCTGGCATTACTGCACATAAGGCTCCAGCAACCTGCTGCAGACAGACAAAGATGTCCCCTAGGTCATTTTGCACATGGCTAGTCCAACTGTTATCAGACTGGACTCTGCCATGGAGCCAATCTCTCCTCCCCTCCATTTTTATGTACAAAAAGCTTGCCCGGAGCAGGATTTGGGAGAGTCCTGGCAAATTGACAGATTCCACCTGTTGACATTAGTTCCCAGCCTTCTTGCTGCTGGGTTCCCTCAGGACCCAGGCTCACTTTCAGGTCTCATCTTGAAACACAATAATAAACAAGAACATTGAAAAAAAACACATGAAAGTTAGCACTACTCCAAGCTCAGACAAGCATCACCCATAAACATCCAGCAGAGCTGTCAGCCAATGGCATTACCAATTAGTGCCATTCCACGGGGGTAAGCTGAGACAAGTTTAGCTTCTTCCTACAACTTCTGAGTAACAAATCAGATAAACTGGGCTAAAGGTAATGACTTCTTATATCTTCAGAAACCTGCAACACCTAGAATTCCTTTCTTGCCTTCAGCAGCTTCTCAGAGACGTTGAGATACAATTTTCATTTACTTGTTGAGGTCAGCTGAGACAAACGAGGTTAAGGGAGATACTGCCTGTGGTAACTTTACTAGCAATGCTTCACAGAGCAAGAGATACAAAAATTAGAGGCCAAAGTTTGTTCTTTTCAAAAATGCATTAAGAGTTCTCAGTGTTATATTTCCAAGTTTCTGAGTTCATACAGTGAACTTAAAAGCAGCAAGGAGTATGTTTTTATTGCTGGCCTCAAACTGTTCATCATTAGCAAGGCCAAAGCGGAAGCTATCTTGGTAATGCTTTGTAGCCTAGTAGAATTTTATCTACTAACCACTTACAGGGCATTGTGAGGTGACTTCTGTTGAACACTGGAGAGTGAGACCTTGTATAAGAGGCAGCCCTTCCATACAGAGAGGTGGACACAATGCTGCTCCTGAGTTTACACATTTGATCAACAATAACAACTACTTCCCTACTCTCAAAGCCATTCATTCCTCAGCAAAGACACGCAACTACAATTAAACAAGATCAGTTCCCTTATGCTCTTTCACTCTTTAGCTGCTGAAGTTGAAGATTACTTACACCTGTGAGATATACAGCAGTACTTGCATAAGTAAGCTTCAAAGCTGTCGTAAGCTACCTACAGTTGACTTACAGAATATTAGCTCAACCATACTACTGAAAACAAACTCCATGTTCTTGCTCCTTTTGTAGTATAGAAAAAACAGTTGCTGAAGCGCTTTGGCTAAGTGTCTCAAGAGATCTCTTTCATAAATTTCAATATCCACTCAGTTCTTCTGCACAAGTTTAATCCTTTTGGTGTGCAAAGACAGCTTTTACCCACTTCATTGACAAATCTGCCTTCCCAGGGAAAGAAAATAGTGCATACATATGATTCAGGTCAGTTAATTCTCCGAAACTCCTGACATCCTGTATGGGATTTTCAAAGATCTAGGGGCATAGAGCACACTTCCAAATTTCTCTTTAAAGTCACTAGCTTTGGCATCTGAGGTCACATGTTTTTGGAAGACTGCTGAAAAACTTGCTGTTAAAACCACAGAGAGAAATATGAAGAAGCCAACTTGCATCGCCTGTCCAAAAATTACAAAACACATCATTCCAACACACCTTTAGGTAAAATTCAGAGGATGTATAAACTTTCCAGAAACTATAAAAGCTGCTGAGTATTGATGGTGCTCAGATGGTTAACTCTTGACAGTGCTTGAACCTGGCATTGGTCCAAAACACTTCACCGGAGCGGAGAAATCTGCAGGCACGTGTGGAACACCGTTAGCCAATCTGCGGTTAACTTCTTAAAATGAAACCAAAAAGAAAACATCATTTTCACTTTACATAACTCTACTAAGGAGCTGGGGTGGAGTGAGGGAAGCACTCTGTAAAACTTGTTTTCTTTAAGCCACATCTTGATTCTCACTGTAACAAGATAGTGTTGGCACTGAAAGGATGCTGCAGTGAAATAACCAGCATGCACAACGTCAAAACTTGCAAAAGGAAACCAGCAATCAGACATACTAGCTAAAGTTCATTTCATCTATAGTCAAGAATGTGTTCAAGACTCAAAACTGTGTTACTTACTCACACAGAAGAATGCCGTTTTCTAATCCAGAACGAAAGTCCTTCTCACCAAAACTTCTGCCAGTCACTTGCTGCAAAAACACAGAGGGAAACAAGAGTGGCATACATTAAAAGGTGTTCTTTTCAAGAGCAACTCATAGCACACAGATAAAGCAACTGCTGCAAAGGAAGCAGCTGAACCTGATAGGCATTGCCAAAGGGCCACATCGTGTATATCAACCAGGTTCCTCCTCCTTCCTATTCCACTGAGCTGCTTAACACAGAGTGAAGTATCCACTCTGGCTAATGCAATTACAGATTATAATAGAGCTGTTGCTTTGATGTTAAAAAAAAAAAAAAAAAGCAAAAAAGCCCAAAGATGACACCAAAACCTTCAGAACATTTTAAAAATTTTATTCTAAAGCACTATGAATTTCAGAACTAATGTTTTTAGACAAACTAGACAAACTATGTATTTGTGCTGCTTTTCTGCACCACGTTAAAAAATTTGCATTGGACTTGAACTTCAGGTCTTTAATCTGTCACCTCTATGGAATAAGCAAATCCAACCAGAAACGCTGTTGTAGCCCTTCAGACACTCTCCGCAGTACTCCTTGTCATATGAAATATTTCACATCACAAATTGTGAGGGTGAATATAAACTCAGCGGAAGCTGAAGTTTAGGCACCTACTCATCCCTGTCAGGGATGCTTATACCAGGGGGTATGTTCTGCGTAATAAACTCTTAAGCTAGCCTCTGCTGCTTAGAGGCAGGCCATCAAGGAAACACCCAGTAACCCTCACGTTGCCTGAAGGTGCAGATGCTACAAGCATGATAGAACTCCTGTGTATGACTCACTGCCATGTTGACAATGGCTTGACACTCAGTCTCAAACCATTCACCACCTATGAGATGTTCAGGTAAAGGTAGAGAAAGCACACTATTGCTACCAACAAATATGTAAAAATAGTTGCCATGCTAGGAACAAAAGAAACAAGAAGGCCTGCCTTGTTTTCAATTGTTCTCCAAGAGGTCTTCTCCTCCAGCCTCCTTTTCATCCAGTCAAAACATTTACCGGATGCTCACTGAGTTCTCATGGACTCCATCCAATCTTTCAACAAGACCCGTGCTCCTGGCATTGCTTTCGCCACAGAAAACAGCGGCTCAGGGATACATCTGCCTGACATACCAGCTTTCTCCTTGCTGTTCCATTCAGATACAAGACCCTTCCCTCCCAGTTTCCTGTCATAAAGACAGCAATTTATAAAAGCTGACAAGTTTGGCACTTTCCCACGGGATTAGCGGCTGCACTAGCTTCACAAATGCTGGTTGTGACTACACACAGTCTTAGACAGAGGACAACACTTTTTTTTTTTTAATTGAAGTGCAAATATGAAGCCTCAAGCTTAATCCTCCACTTACTTATAAACATATTCTTTTTTCAGTATGAAAGAATTTCTCCCACAAACTGATAATTTACAAACTCAAATTCTTTCACACTCTTAAGTCAGCAATCATGCTTTATTCAAATATGTGAAGTAGAACAAGGCACTGGATTGCCCTCATATTTCAGCAGAAACCAGACAATTTGCCAGTCGGAAATCACCTAAACTATCTCTAGTCCTAGAGTTTCATCTCTAATCTTGATCTGCTGGGACAGAGGGAAATTGTAACAACATAATCATTAACATTTGGGATGAACCAGAGACTGAGCACATCAAAACCGATACTTATTTCATGCATAGAATAAAGTACAGAATATGAGAGAATAGGAAGAACTCTTTCAACAAAACTTATTTCATAGGGGAAGACCTCTGTGAAGGGAAAAAAAAAGAGATAGTAGTCACTGTATTTCACTGCTCAACATAAAGCAACATCAAAAATTCCAGCTGCAGAACTCAATCTTTGTGTGTGTTTGTTGAACATCCAGATCCACCAGGGAGCAGTACCAAAACTGTTAATACAGTTAAGTAAGAATCAACCTGCCAACAGCTATCCCATGAGTATTGCTGTCATTACTGCTGATGTAGGAGGGTTTAGTATTATGTTATCTGGCTGCATGAATAAAATCACGAAATGCAAATACACAGCTGGAACAACAACTCTAGTGAGAGGCACAACAAGAACTGACAGCAGGTGAAGAAAGATGGGAAGGTCTAGAAACAGTGCAAGCCTGTTTAAAAAGGAACTGGATGTAAATGAGGCATCAAGAGGCTTATGCCTGTTCTAGATGCCCCAGCTGCAGAGGGGAAACATTAATCAGCTACAAGTCTCCTGACTCAGCTAGTTAACATGCATGAAAAGCTCAACAGATAAAGGCTAAAAACTCAAGGTGAGTGTGAAGATGACATCGTAAATATCAAATATAAACCCAAAAAGTGACTGAAAGGAACAAGACAGCTGTATTCATTTTTTTCAGAGGAAATTAGAGTTCCATTTCCTGGCATGTGCACACACACACATACATGCATGCATATACATGGAAAACATGTGTTTCCACGATATTACAAAACTGCTGCATGCTTCGCAGGCCTATGTTAATACTGTGAATATGATCTCAGCACCGTTCTGTTCCCACCAGATTATCCTCTTACAGTGACTGCTGTAAGCAGCACTCATATTTGTGCTGCTGCTGCTCAGCTTTTTTGCCAAGCTTTACTGGACAGAAGAAAGCTGTACATCTGCAGCCATGTCCAGAAAAATGAATAATGGAGTAACAGACTTCTAGGCCACCAGCTTTCACACTACAGAGAACTGATGTTCAGAACTGAACCATGTCACAGGTATGGACAAACACACTTTGGCAGCCCCAGGGAAAGCAAGATCCAGTGATGAGTTCCTTACTCACTGCTGCAATGTCAGCACATTGTAATTCTCTGCAGTGCAGGAGCCCAAAAGTTACAAGCGTCTTAAAAGGAAAAAGCTGTACCTTGAGAACCAGTCCTAAAGAAAAGCCTGACACTTTAATAAGTTCTGTAAGGCTGATAGGAAGAGCTGTCTTTCCATATCATACTGTAATGCAAAAATAGAGAACAGAAGTGAAACAATATATTTATTACTGTGCTTCATTTATGTGAGGAGGAATTCTTTTTTTCCATCATCTGGATAATATTTTCCTCTCTAAAAAGCTGCAAGCATCTTCAAACAGAGCCATTATTCCACTGCCGGATGTGTTTCTCAGATTCACTACCATTTAGCAACACAGAAAAGCAAACCTAAAATGAATTTCAAAAGTTATTACAAAAGGAATATTAGGACACTAAACCACAGCAGGCTGACCCTCTATCACAAGCTTAGGCAACAATTTTAATATGCATTTATACACAGTAATGCTTCTTATATACAGCACTGTTGCTGATTAACTCCTTTGTTCTTTGCAGTTACGCATGCCACTAAATCTATGTCATCTCTCGTGGCTGTCATCCAGCCACTAACCAGTGCCATATTACACAACTCTATTTTCACCAAGCTTCAGTTCACATTGTTTTCCTTCCTTGCACTTTTTATTGCTGCTAGTGCTCCATAAGATGGAGCCTGCAAAGCCTCTGGTATCAAAACAGCTTAAGGGCACGAAAAAGAAAGGCATCAAATTAGCAGATGATGTCCTCAGGTGAAATGTATGTCAGCCAACAAGATACCAGTAGATGAATAAACACTAGGTCTTCACGGACAACACTTTGAAAATAGCTATCTTGATTTTCTATGTGCATGCCTGAAAACAGCACATAAAGCAGTGAACAAAAATACAGACACAGCAGTGAGAGGTATTTGTTACTCATTACTTTTGAGAGTTTGTGAAACATGAGGTGAATGGGATGAGGTTCAACAAGGCCAAGTGGCGGGTCCTGCACTTTGGGCACAACAACCCCATGCAGCGTTATAGGTTTGGGGATGAGTGGCTGGATGACTGTGAAGAAGAGAAGAACCTGGGGGTGTTGGCTGATGCTCAGCTGAACATGAGTCGACAGTGTGCTCAGGTGGCCAAGAGGGCCAACGGCATCCTGGCCTGCATTAGAAATAGTGTGGCCAGCAGGAGCAGGGAGGTGATCATCCCCCTCTACTCAGCACTGGTGAGGCCGCACCTCGAGTATTGTGTTCAGGTTTGGGCTCCTCACTACAGGAAAGACATTGAGGTCCTGGAGCGTGTCCAGAGAAGGGCAACAAAACTGGTGAGGGGTCTGGAGCACAAGTCTTATGAGGAGCGGCTGAGGGAGCTGGGATTGTTCAGTCTGGAGAAGAGGAGGCTCAGGGGGGACCTCACTGCAATCTACAACCTCCTGAAGGGAGGTTGTGGTGAAGAGGGATTTGGCCTCTTCTCCCAGGCAACGAGCAGGACACGGGGCAATGGCCGCAAGTTGTATCAGAGGAGGTTTAGGTTGGACATAAGGAAGAACTGTTTCTCTCACACAGTGGTCAGGCACTGGAATGGCTGCCCAGGGAGGTGGTGGAGTCGCCATCCCTGGCAGTGTTCAAGAGGCATCTGGATGACGTGCTGCGTGGTATGGTTTAGTGCTTGTGGTGGCAATGGTGATGAGGAGACGGTTGGACTAGATGATCTTATAGGTTGTTTCCAACCTTGTGATTCTATGATTCTATGACAGCAAAGAACAGATTTTCAAGATACTTGGTGGGCTGTTCATTTCTTTTTATAAGTGCACTGCATTTCCATTTTGTACAATCTTTTTATTCCTCTCATATCAATTTTGATATAAGTAAAAAGTCCACATCACAAAACTAGAATACGTGCTACTTTTATTTCAGGGAGGTATGAAAGTAAGGCTTGAACAATCACAAGTATGTAAATTGGATGCACTGGATCATATAAGCAGCAGGCAACACAAGTCACCAATAGATGATGTATGGCTGTTTTTAAGATATCAGTCAGGATAGGCACTTCCAGAGTAATAAATTCCTATCTCCTAATTTCCAGAATTACATCTGAGCTAGTAACACAAGAATGCAAATTAAATTCCTCTTTTATATAGTACCGAACTAAACAATGCTGATGAAGTTAAAATCTGCTTTGCATTTGTGAACAAGAACTGAATGGAAGGAGAGCCTTCACCAGCTCCTGCTTCTGACAAGCTTTGC